CACGTTATAGATAATTAGGACAAGTATTTCCCACCTCCACTAACTCCCTTCCCCACCCCTCCTTAAGAGTCTGTGGAGTGGAGGCTACATTCCCTCAAACCTCCCCTCCTCTCCTTTCCTCCATGAACTACAGAGTCATCCCAATTGGGAAAGTGTCCCAACCAGCCTTCACCATGGATAAACCCGCCACCCCTGAAGGATCACTCTAAACCCAGCCTCCCCAGCACAGTACCTGGAGAGCTTTGGGCAACACCAAACTCTCAGCTGGACCCTTAGCATCCTCCAGACTTGCACTAGCCTTGCTGGTCTCGGCTCCCAGGACAGGCTGGTTCTTAAAGGGAGATGCACCTTCTCCACCTGTCAGGGATTCCAATGACTCGTGTGCAGTTCTCTCCTCCTCATGCTCCTCCTCTTCTTCTCCCCTTTCCGAACACCTGAACCTTTTGGGGGCTTGCTCCCTCTCAGGACTGGCAGGCTCTTCCTCTGGCTCCTTTCTGCGTTTCCCAGACTGCTGTGAGTCCCTGTTCTCTTCTTCTTCTTCAGGGTCTGGAACCTGGGGCAATTTCAACCTCCTGCCCCCCTGGCCCAGCTGCCTACACAAGCCTTGGAGCTGTCTCTGGCACTTTTTCGACAGTAAAGAAGCTCCCTGGAGGGAAGCCCCAACCGCCAGATCCCTTTGCAGCAATTCTCCCAGGACACGGAGCCAGGCATCAGGGTCTGAGGCTAGGTCCTGCTGGGCAATCTGCAGCACAGAGAGAAGCCCACTTTCAGGCAGTGACGGCCGAACAGCCATGAGCAGGGACATCAGGTTCCTCTGGCATAACTGGGGCAATCTCAGCAACAGTGGCTTCCTGGGTAGCAGAGGGAGAGAAAGCAGTTAGAGCATCTGGCTGAAGGGAGCAGAACACAGGGCAGACTGGCAGAGCTGAGGGCTAGATGGCAGTGGACCTATTGGGGCAGGCAGGCGATACCTTCAAGTCAGTGTGGATGGAGGAGACAGCATGAGAGTCATTTAGCAAGTGTTCAATGAGCATCTATTATATGCCAGGCTGGCCTGTTCTTTGACCTCTTTGGAATCTCCTATTTCAGCTCAAAAATTCATGTTGGAACGTACCCTATAATAGATCCACGCTTGTTTTACATTTTAAAAAAGTCCTTTCCAAAATTTTAGGTAAAAATAATATTCCAGGATGCTGTGCAATGCTTAGTCTGTGGCCCTGTGGCCACCCTTGGCAATCCCCTGGTATTCATCTGTCCAGCTCTCATGTTCCTTTCACCGAATTGTAAGTTCCTAAAAGGCAGAAGTAGTGTTTCCTCCCACTGTGTCCTAGTACTCAGCACAGTGCCAGCCCAGAGCAGGCACTCGGTGCACATTCACTGAATGAATGAACTGTCTGAGAGTAAGTGTGCAGAGATCAGCAAGGGCTGCTGTGGAGACAGAAGGCTTCACAGAGGAGGTGAGACTTGAAACACAGCAATCAGGTAATAAGCATTCAGGGCACTTTACAGATTCCAAACATTTTTTACAAAGGCAAAGGAACAGACAGGGGGCTGAGGGTCTTTCCTCTTGGAGCCCCAGGGGTAAGCACAATGAGCGCTCCCTCCTGCAAGCACCCAGCATCCTGATTTAACACTATTCTCCAGTGCTCCAAAGGCCCATGATGCAACACAGTTGTCTGTAATTCCACTGAGGCACAAATCCAGGTCCTGTGTGACCAGAGGCACGGTTTGGCAAGCAAGTAATAGCTGCATCTAGCCCACCACCCGCGCCTCTGCCCCTCCTTATCCATGAGTTTGCAGGGCTGTTTGTCAACACACACATAGGCGTGAGGGATCTAAGGGAGGAAAAAAACACCCATTTCTTTTTGGAATATAGATGCTATGTGAGAGAGAAAAACTGGCATCAAAGTTAAGATGGTTAATTGGTGGTGGGAGGATTTTGAGGGTAGAGGTAGAGAAGATCCTACTCCAGGAGTTTTAACCTTTTTTACTGCCACAGACCCCTTATCAGAATAAGAGTGTTACATACATTAAGTGAAATACCTAGGATTACACGGGAAATCAATTGTACTGAAATACAGTTCTACACAGGGCCCTAGGGAAGCCCCCTGC